CAGTCTTGTTTAACTTAGATTTCGTTACAAAAGATAGGCTTTAATTTGTTATCAGAAATCACCCCACCTCCTCCCGAGTCCTCACAAATGAAATATGAACTTTCGGGTTTGCTTCGGGCTCGGGCCTGCAAATCAAGTTAAGTGATCGGGCTCATGCAGCCTTTGTGGCTCCCGTTCTCGCCGAAATTTCGAAATCTCAGAGATATGGCGAGGCCATGAGAACGCGAGACGAGGGTATTATTACTGTTGTGGCGACGCCACTCTAGCTTGCCCGCTGCTCTCTGCTGTGCGTGCGTCAGCGCGAACATTTCTGCGAGCGCGTCTTTTGATTTCAACCAATCAGCGCTGACGCAACAACGTCACACACCCGACGTCACACACGACAACAGCTAAACTAAGCTAGCCGAGACGACACACGAAGTCGGACGGACACGTTTTTCTGCCAATCTGTGTGTTTCCCTTTTTGTCCAAATATATTTTTTACGACAACTGTCTTGTCCACGGTGTCTTTTGTTCGTTCCACTGGGGTTTAGCAAGTGTGTCTATAAAGAGACAAAAATCTCTTTACTGTTACTAGTGTTAGTGTTTCAACACGGCTCCGCTCGTGAAAGCAAAACAACAAACTCAAACGCGTCTTCGTTCAATGTTGTCAACTAATATCCGGATTAATTTTCGGCAAATTTTCCTCAATTCTCCCGACAGATTTTCATAAAAACTTGAAAAACCCGGAATTCCGGGAAAATCCGGAGGACTTTCATCTCTGTTGAAGAAATAATCAATCAATCAATTAATTATGATACTTATTAACTGCACACACAATGCACAATTATTATTTAACTGTATAACTACCCTGGTTCTTATAATTTTATTTTGTAAAATATTGTTAGGAGACAGCCCGGTGGTCCAGTGGTTAGCGCATCAACCTCACAGTGCAGAGGTTGTGGGCTCGATCGAGGCTCCGGCCTTCCTGTGTGGAGTTTGCATGTTCTCCCCGTGCCTGCGTGGGTTTTCTCCGGGTACTCCGGTTTCCTCCCGCATTCCAAATACATGCACAGCAGGCTGATTGAGCACTCTAAATTGTCCTTAGGTGTGAGTGTGAGCGCGGATGGTTGTTCGTCAATGTGTGCCCTGTGATTGGCTGGCAACTGGTTCAGGGTGTCCCCCGCCTACTTCCTAAAGACGGCTGGGATAGGCTCCAGCACCCCCCGCGACCCTCGTGAGGATAAGCGGATTGGAAAATGGATGGATGGATGATGTTAAGGGGGGAAAAAACAACTTTAAGTGACAAAACACGTAAACAGTTCACAACAAAGTGTTTGCACCAGTGGGGGAAAGGGGGCTGCAGCATAAACACGAGTGCAAATGGTCAGAATGAGATACAATGCAACTTCTGCTTTAATTTGGGTCAGATAACATCTCCTAAATTAAATTCACAGTTTACCTGGTTGACCAATGTGGGGTCGCTGTCTTTAAATGTGAGCAACGTGAGCGTGCAGGAGCGAGTGAGCGGCTGGTGGAGAGGCCATGGTTCGCCATCCACCAGGGCCAAAGCAGAGTTGGTCACATGATGCTCTGTCAGGTCTGCGGGACACACAGAAGGGTGTTTTTATCGTCCGGTATATGAGGAATGCATGCAAAAGAGACCAAATACTGTTCTGAAGACTTGCAACCAGTACTCTTAACTCACGCATGGCACAGCTCTGCGGTGTGGACATTCCTCTGTTCATGATGAGAAGAGTACCATCCAGCCCCACGCCCTGCATGGACACCTCGATCTTCTCCACACGGGGGTACAGAGCCCGCTGCCGGGCTTGCTCTCTGGAGAAGACTGCATTGCGGTGGCTGAGAACCTCGACACGCGCTGCTGCTGCGACCGCAGTCGACCTGAAACCTGCAGAGATGGTTAAAATTGACAGGTGCTGGAAAGAATATCTATCAAAAATACATAAACTAGAAGACATCTTAGCAACTTTAATACATTAATAAAATAATCTTTGTGTACATTTTTAGTTTCGATCCTTCATTAGACCACATACAAGACCATACACTACAAGGGGTTCCAAGTTGCGGAATTGTGTGCCCAGCGGCGTAAGAACACGTGGTCACGTGGTGCAAAAGCTCCGTCGCCGTTTAATTATTGTTCTGATTGATGGCGTGATAATATTATGGAGTAATAATGATTTTCATCCAACTATTTTGTGTAATTTACTACTGCGTTACTGTGGATTAGTGATAAAACTACGGCGCGTTCCGACTAGCTGAACCATAGTCGTAAACTGAGGACCTCCTTTATTACGACAAGTAAACAGAGTTAATACAATTAAGTGAAAGTAAAGGTTGTTGTGCAAGTTGGGTTAGACTTTGGTGATGAGTTTGTTGATCCACTGTCTATTCCGGCACGCAGAACTCTACTCACTCATACAATTGTAGCTTCATTTAACATTAGCTACAAATTGCTAGCAGTTTGCAACTTACGGTGTTGGAGGTGCTGGCATGCAGCCCTGATCAGCATCGTGAGGAAATTTTCGATAATAGCATGCAGATCGCACAACGTCTATTCCAGTGACCTAAAATTGAAGGACGCCATGACAGGTTCATGTGTGCACTGACATTGGGTCCGGCGAGGAACTAAAACCTGAAGATTGAGTTCTGTTTGGCCAAAGAAGCAGACCGCAGTTACAATTATGCCCAATAGACGTCGCTGTTAGCTCTGAATTCGATGGTTACGTAAACGACCCCCGACTTGGACGTGCAGACGGAAAATCAGGGCGTGTCAATGGCACATCATACATGTGAACTGCCACGCCACGCAATGGTTTGAATGACGGTCTTTTTACCTCAGCGTTCCTCCAAATTACCTTGACCAAGAGTTGCTCTATTTTTGGACTGCATCCAAATGTATTATGTTGGCCGTGATGTCTCATGTCACGTGTCCTCCAGTTTTATTCTGTAAATGGACATTAATGACACTTGAATGGAATTTGACAAATGCTGAAGTTTGAAGGTCCAAAATCAACAGTAAGTCCTGGAGCTAATGGAATCAGCAGATCGGGGACATCATTTACAGGAAGGAAAAAAAACATAAATCGTCCACATCACCAATCCTCTTCTCAGCAGAGGAAGAACTGTTTTCACTAGAGGCTGGAGGACATCTTGAGTTTGGAAGGAAGTAAATGATAGCCAGATGGAAACATTTGGAGACATTTTCTGCTCCATATTAATAACTTGTACCACAGTCTTCTTTGTTGTTTGTTGAATCAAAGGACATGCACATTTTGAGTCTTGATTTTCAGCCTCTTAACCAATGTTTAAAACATGACAGACCTCCGAGCAAATCTTTTATTTTTGTCATTTCTTGATTATTTCATTTTAAATATTCTATACATTGGCTATTTTGGTGAATTTGTTTCATACTGGGAAGTATTTAATCTTGAAATCATTAAATTACACTCGTTCATAGTTATCTATGAGCAAGCAAACGATTGGGGGTTGGGGTTGGGGGGGGGGGTGTGAAAGCTCAATTAGGATCCGCACATGGGCGCACATGGCATTGAGGATGAGGGTGCCCACGATCCGTCCCCTCCACCTTCGCCACGTAAGGCCACAAGAATCTCCAGTAAAACAGAGGACTAATGTTCCTCTTCCATTGGGACAGGCATGGAGCCTGCAGAGCATGTGTTGTGCACCAACTACTGATGCGTTCATGTTACACCCAAAATGTCGGAATTTATTTTTCTTAGTCAGATTCTGAAATGAATCCTCTTCCTGAGCAAGGCAGACAAATCTTACAAGCCCGCCATGGACTTGATGTTATCTACTACTCATGTAAACATGAGTTACATGTGTTTTACTTGTGATGTCCTCGCGCCCTCTCCCTGCAGATTTGCTGAGTGCGGTATTATGTGTTAATGGCTGCCATGCCATGGGCCTCTTGTAGTGATGTTTCTCACCCCCTCTCCTATCTTAAGTTGTTGCGTGGTCTCCTTCTGTCTTTTTTACTTGACACATGTGCTGCCGTCTTTCGCCAGCATTGTTATTTGCTGTGTGCCTCGGCTCGTGATGACTTCGAGCACATCCTCTTGTATCCCTGCTTCTCACACGGGAGTTTCACGTCTGCTGCGCAGGTGGCGTCCACGCCCCATTCCCTCGGCTTATCACTCTCGATTTCGTGTCGGGTGACTTTTGGCACATGTTGGCCGTGTGCTGCGAGTGGGCCCCCTGCCTTTGGCTTTGTGCGTGCTCGCCCTCTGGGCCTTGTTCTCTATGAAGGGTTCCCCCCTTGAGTTGACTGCGGTTCCCTCATTGAGGCCGCGGATGACCAAGTTGACCACTGTTGGAGGTGCCGCAGATCCGCCCGCGTTGAAGCTTGCCTGTGTGTCGATGATGTGCCTCAGGCACTACAAGTTGTGGGGCAAGGGCTGTCGTTGCTTGTGAGGGTGGTGGGCCCATTGCACTCCTGAGCAACAGAAATGCAGGAGTTCTCATTCTGCTGTCCGCAGTCCCTCCAAGAGGAAGTTCTCTACAGAGCGCCAGCTCGCTTTGGAGGTGTATCACTTCCATACTGAGTTGGAGGAAATGAGGTCCCTCTTGCAGGACCGTCTCCTTCCTGCCTCTACTGCAGTGTTGGGTGCATCCATCTCGCCCGTGCTGGTGCTTGCCTGGGATGTTGACACAGTTTCTCGGGCTGCCTCTGAGGATATGTGGGTTGAGTTGCTCTCCACACTCCCCTTTTTCCCATTGGGGGTGCGCTGTAATTCTACCAGGGGTGTTCCTATGTCTTAGGCGTCTGTGAAGGCTGTACCCTTGGAGAACATTTGTGCTGCTGCCTACGAGATGATGAATATTGGCCCTGCTCGGTATCGGCACCTATTCAAGGACATGACTCACAATGTACTATTACTCAAAGTGATTCAGCAAAAAAATCTCTGAACTATATTTAATTGAACACTCTCTTTTCAAATGCACATTAAGAGTATAACTAGAATTGCGTTCTTTTTAACCTATGCAATATCACTCACATACGTCCCATTTTATCTCCTGGTGACGCAGAAATCATAATTCATGCGTTTGTTCTGTCTCATCTCGATTATTGCAACATATTGCTCTCTGTTCTTCCCACGTCCTATGTTAAAAGCTTGCAGCTAGTACAAAACGCTGCAGCTTGACTCCTGATGAGGACACAGAAGTTCAATCACACCACCCTGATACTCGTCAACTTGCTTTGGTTTCTGGTCCATTTGAGATGATTTCAAGGTTTTGCTACTTACTTATAAAGTACTTATATTAGTACCTTGGTATCTTGTATGTTCCGCCCCGAACTCTTCGTTCACATCATGCTGGTCTTTTAGGCATCCATTGAGCCAAAAGGAGTCCACAGGTTCGAGAGCATTTTGTAGTCGGGCTCCAGTGCTCTGGAATTTAATTAGAGCTGCTTTGAAATGTTTGAAACCCACCTTAAGACTCATTTGTATACAGTAGTCTTGCATTTTGTTGAACTAGATGTTGGCCTGTTTGACTGCCGCTTCCTCTGTTTGTCCTTCCCACTCCTCCCTGATCTGGAGAGCGGGGCTAGGTCATGATGACCCAATTGGATGTTGCTTACGGCTTCTGCTCCGATCGATATGGACATGATGCACACTGAGCTGGACAAGAACTTGGTCAACTACTCGGAGACGCCGCTTTGAAGATTTCTTCATTCATTCACTAACTGGGGGCTTTTCTATCATTCTAACATTGTATAGTACAATATTTTATCAAATGTTGCCCAGTCAGCATCTATTGCAGCCTGGTCATCCTGGAAGGGGGATTCTCCCATCTGCGGCCCCTGCTCAAGGTTTGTCATTTTTCCCCGGATAGGTTTTTTTTTTAGTTTTTCCTTGCCCTCCTGGGAGTTAAAGTCAGGGGATGTCATTAATATTTGTCAACTGTTGGCATGTGAAGCCCTTTGAGACTGTTTGTGATTAAGGGCTATATAAAGGTGACTTGACTTGACTTGGTCGTCTCTAAGCAGTTTCTCCAGATTTTATACTGTGGTTTTCGCCAGTCCTCTTCCTCTGAGCATTATTTTTGGCTCTTCAGAGGCTTCTCAGTGAGGCTTGTGTCTAGGATTCCTTGTGACTTTGCTGGTATTAGTCATACCGTGCTTTAAGCACCGCCCGTGGTGGTTTGGAGGGATGTCATAGAACAGCGATTACCGATGTAACTACAGTTCTTTGAGTCCCGAATGACCGCCAGAGCATCATGTCACTCTGAGTCTTCGTGTTCACGCGAGAAGGTTCTGAGGGACTGTCTTCCGGGTGCCGTGGGTTTTTTATATGCCCTGGGTCATCTGGGTGTCACTCATGACATTTTTTGTTAAGCATTCTTGAGCCGCGCATGTGCGAATGGATATTCCATGCTTTAAGCACTTAGTCTGGCAATCCAGTACCTGTGATTGAGTCCAGTCTTGGTCTCATCAAGTGCATTTCCAAGGCGGGGCAAACCTCAGCACACAGTCACCGAAATGAAACTGTCAGAAAAGAGTGGTCGCGATGTCGAAAACCCCCCAAGTCTTCTTTAGAAATAAATGCTTCCAGTGCTGTCAGCTGTTAGGGTTTTAATGACTCTCTTTTTTTGTAGCTATTTGAAACTGATTTAATGCTGACTGATGTGAACAAACTATTGTCTTTTCTGCGTGCCATTTTGATGAGTTGTGGACTTCCGCCACCGAAGAGTGACGTTGCGCACAAAGGATACATCACAGCAAATCAACAAATTTGATTGGACACTTTGTTTTGAACTGGGGCCCAACCATGGGGGAGGGCAGGCTTTCCAGACCCACTTTATTCATTTGATGAGAGCGAAAATAGAATGTTTAGACAACATGTACATGAACAATGACTTGAGCAAGGCGAAATTATCCGACATCTTGACGTCGGGTCCACGAGCTCCTTAAATATTCCAAATAATTGTGATGCCAGACAGGTGCGCAGCAGGAAAACTGGGAATGCCTCTGCCACCTGCTGGACACGAACAGAACATGATCATGACACTTTGGGAAAAAAAATTAAATTGTTCTTTCACTCCTTGAAAAAAAGAAATATTGTCTTTCGTTTTACATTGTCTTTTAATCCCCTGGCATTGAATGAAATACATAAATAAATCAATAAAATACTATTCACCCTTATTAGATGTCTCTTTTAATCCCCTGGCATTGAATGAAATACATAAATAAATCAATAAAATACTATTCACCATTATTAGATGTCGCTGGGGCGTTTCTCTTTCAGTGTCCACGGTGTCACACAGTGGCTCCATGGATATAAGCAGAACTCGAGTAAGTATTCCGATGATGCCTTCGCCAATATTTTTTCGGCTAAGTCAGTCAGCCTCGGGGTTCCATCTCGTGTACTGAGCTTGCGCTTCGCATGCATTTTTTTAGATCGCTCTTTTGTTTTTGAAGCTCCTCAACTCTCTTCTGTAGAATAGTGATTTCTCACTTGTTTATTTTCTTGCGGCTGATGCATTTGCTTGAACAGGTTCATCCAAACTTTTCTAAAGTTCAGTCTGGCCATCCACTTTTACCGTCAGAGCGTTTTAATATCATCCAGTTTGCCCTTCATTTTTTCTTAAGCGCTGGGCTTTTAATGGGTGTATGACTCTTGATTTATTTTGCTCGTTTTGGAAGTGTTACCACCTACCTCAGGGGTGCCAAAGTCCGGACCTCGAAATCCCCGTTCCAGCCTGTTTTAAATGTCTACCGCTTACTGGTGAGCTAGCTGATCATTTGAAAAAGGTGTGTTGGAAGAGGGAGACATCGACAACAGGCTGGATAGGGGATCTTGAGGACCGCGCTTGACCTACCTCAAGCTCTTCAATGTCGCTGTCTCCGAAGCAGAAGTGCCGTTGTATTTACACGCAAGCTGTCTTAAGGTGACCCAACATTCCTGAAACCGTAGGTATTCAAGAAATTATGCTAAAAGGGGTCCAAGACAAAAGACTTGGATTGTCAGAAAAGAAAATGAAAATTCAAGGACTAAAACAAAAATATTTTGACAGATGCAGAAAAAAAGCTTCCACTCACTCCGCCATCTTGGATCCTGCCCCTTCAAACATTTTTCCCTCCTGTTGTTCCCCTCGTCATGCCGACGGGATGTCTGGAGGGAGGAGCTGGTACATGTAAACTGAGGACTTAGGATGATGCGAATAAAGAAATGAGATTTGGCCCATATATGCACAGACAATCAATCACAAATTGTGAGGGTGTGTTTTTTGAACTGTGGGATGAAACTGCACACAGTTGGGGAAAGGAATCCAAACCAGTGTGCTACATTGGTGCATAAAGAGTTTTTTATTTTGGTTGAAAATAAGTGTTGATGAGAGCCACTAAATGATGCAATTCAAGATACACTGTCACTATCATGTTCGGCGTACGAGGCATTTGTATCGTCTGTAAGGTGTCAAGTGACTGCGCATTTCAACAATGATTGATTGACATTGTCTCTTTGGGGGAGACTGTACTCAAGGTCAGCGTGAGAGTATGACTTCATGCGCACGTCATCCGTATTCGTGACATTTGGGATTTTCCGAGTGAATCCCCTCAGAAGGTGCAGCTTTTGACTCCGAGACATTCATTCATCTCATCATTCATTCATAGTTAGGCGGGCCGAGGAGTGGCCCGACCTCTGGGGTGACAGCTTCACAGTGGTGCTGCTTGACATCTGTGTAGAAATCTGATGTTTGGTCTTTGCACCCTCATTCGAAGTGCGAAAGGGAAACCGGAGAAACTGTGTCCATTTGCTGCTGTCTTTTCTTTTTGGCTTCCCAAATTGATTTAGGGCTCCAATCCTCTTTGTCGATGGCTTTTAAGGTGGCTTTGGCACAGCGCCGCCTTTGGGGAAAGCCCCTGAAATTGGCTGTTTACCAGGAGGGGGCTGATGGATGTGCGAGTTCAAAGGAAAATCCACCCCGTGCTCGAGGGATTAGATTTCATCTCACTTGTCAGCCTCGCTGGGTGTTTTCCTACATTTCCCAGCATGCCTCTCAGCCAAAGTGCATTCCTTCCATGGGAAAAAGGAATGGCAATAGCAAGTATTTTCCTTGAGTCCTCTCCAACTTCAATCGATCAACGTGATTTTAATTGCCTTTGTCCGCGTCTTCGGATCCATCAGCCCGGAGGCCCGGGCGGCAGGCCGACGGGCTGCTACTGTACGCTGCAGGCGGGGCAGCATGCCTCTCGGCGGTCGGGCAGTGGGCAAAAATCCATCTGCCGCACAATCTCAGTGAAAAGCTCGTCCACCATTGTCTTGCTCTTGGCAGAGGTCTCCATGAAGGGGCAGCCCCAGTCTTCCGCCAGTGCCTGGCCCTCGCCGGGCGACACCTCCCTTTCGTCCTCCAGGTCCACCTTGTTTCCCACCAGCACCACCGGCACCTGCTGGTACCTGAAAAGAGAAGACGGAGCCAATTGTCATACCTGCAGTGTACTCTGTTTTGGATGAACACGACGACAGGAACTTCCCGAGGAAAACTCAGTGATGCAGTGAATGTCGGCCTACATATTGTCAGTTGCTGAAAGCGCAAGAAGGATGCACATTGGAGCAAGAGGAAAGCGACAAACGCGGCTCCTGCGGCTTCCCAGGAAGCTGCCAGCCCTCCGTGGGCGTCTAATATCTGTAGACGGTCCCATTAGTGAACTGTCACGACAAAAGAAGACTTCTTTGTAACAAAGTCTTTGCTTGGCATGCGAGTGGCACATCGATTGCTAGTGTGCAAGACACGGGTCTCTCTTCAACGGAGAAGACCAGGCTGGAGCGAGTAATGGATACCCAGTTATTGAATAACTTGAAAACACCTCCTGCGACAGATGCAGTAATCACATCTTGGAATATGAATGAACCTTAACAGTGACATATGCCAACACATTTTTCCCAAAACTGAAAACAGTTGTCTGGTTTCTTGACAAAGGCCTCTGACACTTTTCTGTCAAAATGCATAACAAATCAGGAATTACAACACACTTAAATCCACTTGAAATCACTTTTGAGATATAAAGGGGAGGGATGGTGGGGACGTTCTGTGACTGGTCACCAGTCAATCGCAGGGAAGACAAAGAAGGCAAAGAAACATTCCCGCTCATTTTCCAAGCGTCCTGGAGTGTGATGTGAACACACAATGCCTGCACGGAAGTCACGCGGGTGTTTCACCACATCTCAGTGACTCCTCGAAGAAGCCCGCCATTACAAATTCTTTATTGTTTTTTTTTCAGGTGGTCCTCTGACTGACACTGTTCTCCAGGTCGTGTCCACCGTGAGTGCGCTACACGGATTGCCGACCTCCTGCCTCTGCTTTTGTGAGATGCCGGAGGGAAGGCAGGGCCAGGGAAGGCGCGTCCTTCAGAAAGAAAGGAAGAGTGGCACGGACAAGCTTGTCGTCTGACCTGTGTGTGCAGTCAGGGTGTGAACAAGGAGAGAGCCACGTGGGCAAATGCAAGCTGACAGTCTCTCAGGAGACACTCTAAATATATCTCCAAAAGCGCAGGGAGTGCCGGCTTCTCCGTGGTCTGGCGGGTGGAGAGCTCGCTTCGCTTGTTTGTTGCCATGCCGGGCTGCATGCTGGCAATGTTCTGCCTCGCAGGGGTTAGTTGTCTGCGGTGCGGCGCATGATTTCCGCAGCCAAGTGGCATTCCTTGGACTGCTCGTGTTGTCCGAGTAGAAATACAGTGGCGGGTCAGGGATTCGTTGGCCAAATTGTGCCCACTTCCACCAATATACTGGAACAGTTGGTGCCACTTGCAGCTTCTTTCATGTCTTCTGAGTGAGTGTGAGACATTCAATGAAGGCTATGCGCCTCAGGATTCCTTTTCACCATTTTCGTTTAGATTGCATTTTTTGTAAAACCCATAGAAACGCTGTCAAAGATCGGGAGTGTTAAGTTGCCCCCCCCCCCCCCACCAGTTTTTAACACCCCCCAAAATTGACATACAGTATTTGCTTACTGCTCTTCTAGTGTTGTATCTACTAACCCCGACCTGTAACGGCCAGCATTGTGCCAAAGGGCATCCAGACTGCTGAAAAATACAAAGAAGAAAAGGAAGAGCAAAAGAAGAAATACAAGAAGTTGGGCGAACTGTTTGCTTATCTGGTGGTTGCAAACTCTTTCTCCTAGGCATTTTTACTGCGGTGAAAGACTTTTGAGACATGTCACACAAACACTCAACACAACCAGTTTCTTCTCTATTTTGTCTGTCAACAATGTTTTGCTTTGGGTCGTTTCCCAATTGGCGATCGTTTCATTTCACGTCATATGACAGTCACAGAGTCTCTCGCTTATTTGAACACACAAGAAAGGCCTTGTGAGTGAAAATATTGAAGCGGTTTATTAATTAAAATTGTGTGCCGAACATCGCCGTTTTTTTGAACAAGTCGGGAAGGAAACATTCCACTCTCAACACTGCCGACACTGAACGATAATCGGTTGGGATAACAGACGTGCAAAACAAAAAGGGCGTTTCCTGAATTTGATTCCAAAGGATGTTTTACTGCTTTGAACGTGAATGCAATGCCATGTCATTCTGGTAGGGTTGTGACTGTCTCATATTTTTCTTTTCTATTCTATTGATTATCATAGCGATTAATCAAATAACCTGCCAACATTTTATTTTGCAATAACAAGTATTAGAAATGTATTTTCTCCCGATTAAGGTTTTTTAACCAATTATTGTTGTGTGGATAGGTATTTAGTGATAAAAAAAACAACTCAACAAAAAGTGATTAAAAACAAAAAAAAAACAACTCAACAAAAATTAGGCAATACCACAGAAGAGAAAATTGATTTTGTTCTCAACAGCTTTTGGAAACCGTGTAACTGGTTTGGCCATTGTTTTCCAAAGTAAAAGCAGTTACTGTGTCTTACTCAGTACTTTATGTCGGCCGGTACGCAGCGGTACGAAATGCCAGCACTTGTCAATTTCAGCCTCATGCCTACCGGAACTTTTTAAGGCATAACGGGACTTCACATGGGCCCACAGTACCCTCTCTTGTTCTATTTCTCGTTCGCACTTTGTGATAGTAATACGACTCCATCAGTTATTCGGGTACCTTAAAAAAACAAAACAGTTTATTCGGCGAGTGTTTTCCAGGAATGTATGTCAAGTAGACTGTAAACATACTGATAATGTAACACGCTGCCAACGCAAAGGCTAACTTCAAAATAAAAGCTTACCAGAGAATACATTGACGCCAATGGAAAAAAAAACCTTAATTAGCTTTTATTTTGCAGTTGGCCCGCCTGGTGGTATGACGGCTAGCTTCACTTGTCTTTTCGACATTACTAATATTTTTTTTTTCCTTTTCCATTGTTGCTACCAACATCAACATGACGCCATCGCGAAATCAAATTCAATCACTAATTTGGGACGCTAAGAGACTTCGTTGTGTGGTACAGCACAAGTCTTTGCCATTATTTATTCATTTGTTTATCTATTTTCTAGCACATAGTGATTAACTTAATGATCTGCTATTACCCACCACCTAATTTATTTGGCAACAGTCTGGGCACTTATTATTTTTTTCACATAAAGCATTGGTCTTATTTCAATTGAACACGAAAGATAATTAATAACCGCTAACTTTCATGAAGGACTACAGAAATCAGAGAACTTATTGCTGAGAGGCTGATATCAGAGGATGTGGACTACTTTAGGTTAAATAATATCTCTAAGCGATTACTCTATTATTACAATAGTTGTCATGTCATTTCATATTCTATTGATTATCAATTCATTGATTAGTTTTGACACCTCAAAATTCTGTCGAATAATCTTCTCGCGTTCTTGTCCCATCACACTGGCAGAGTTTGTGATTCCAATTGTCTCAGTCCTGCCATAATACCTGTCAACTTGGTGTAATTTCAATTGTGCTAATATTTCAGATTTTCAGCGCGTTCAATTTACTGTATAACAAATTTCCACTTGAGATGCAGTTTTTTCTGCGGCTCACGTTTGAGGGGGCGCATAGCCTCCCGATGTTCGTGTTTGCTGTTTATGAGGCTATAAGGCTGCAAACATGCTGCATTGTCATTAAAAGACGCATGAGTTAAACTTTAGTTGTATCTAATTACCGCTGAGGGCTGCCTTTCTGGGAACAACACAAAGGGAAGCAATGTTTAGAACTCGCCCTCCCAAAAAAGTTGCTCGTGTCCTCAGGGCCCACGTAACCTTATTAAAGCTACCTGCTGTGCGAAATAGCCATTTTACAAGCCCCGCAGCAGCAGCAGCAAGCAAGCAAAAGAGCACGAAAGCCTTCAATGCTGCAGTCTGCATCTGCTACAAATTAGCAGCTGCAGCACTGCGGCCAATGTGTGTGTGCAACATACAAAATACACAAACAAATCACACCCCTTTCCAAGTTGTGTGAGGTATTGTAGCAGTGCTCAACAAGTCTCCTCGAATTCTGTGCTTCTCGGCGATACTGCGATAAAAAGAGAGCGATTGGGCCAATTTCATTTACGTTCCCATTGTCCTGGACAAAATCGGAGGAGTATTTTTTTTTCGTCCGAGGTACACAGATAATACAAGGACCATGTTTAGTGAGCCGCAAACACGCCTGGCTTGCTTTAATGACTTGCTTTTTTGTTAATGGCCGCCGCTAAAAGCCTGAGATCTAAATGCTGCTTTGAGGCCACACCAGAGGGCCCCCTGAGATGCCTCATTTTGGTCTCCACCCTGTTCCCGTTCCCATCCTGCTATTTGACACAGCATCAGTGCGGCGTGAAAAGGCGACTTTGAAGCAGCTTTCCCCCCGCCGACTCAGCTCACACACAGCGAGATGATCCGATTGTGTGAAAAAGTATGGAACTGGGCGTCGCCAGACGGCGCATGCTAGCTCGCACTCTGGCATGGAACAGCATGCAGCCTCGTGTGAGAGCGAGGTCTGCAGCACACATTTTTTTCCCCACATAAGAGCCCCGCATTCCAGTTTACATGACTCCCTAATGGACGCCTGATGTCTTTTTGGCTTCCAACACAACTCAATTCCATTAGGTTCTGGTGAGCGGGTTCATGCAACTTCACCGCATGTTGTTGGCTGACTCAGCACAAATGTGGATCAGCCAGGAGGATCATCTCCTAAAGATTCTACAACGTGTTGTCGACGGCCTGCGAGCACAACGTGCACGCGGCGTCTTGTTAACTGTCAACGAGGAGCCGTTTGAGCCCCTTGTCAGCTGCAAAATTCATCTGGTGCTCGTAGGAACATCTGCGCCAATGGGAAAGCTTTGTTTTTCTGCAACAAAAACAGACTCCAGCTCTCCACTCGCGAGTCATTATCATTATTATCATGAGACCTTGTGGGGCCCATGAGCACGCAAGAAATCGGCAAGTTTGTTCTTACATGTCATAGAGTTGGTGGTGTAATTGAGATGACAATCACAGCACATAATCATT